ATGATACATCGATCACGTTTCTACATTTGAAGGTATAACATTGATGCTTGTTTCTACTCCCTACGTTCCTAAATATAAGCCTTTTTAGAGATTCTAATACGGACTACATACGGAGCAAAATTAATGAATCTACAGTCTAAAATGCACTTCCTTTATTTTCTTTCTAAACTCACTCGAACCCATTATGAATTAAAACGGGTTCGCGTGAGTTTCAAAATGGGTTCGAGTGAGTAGGCTTCAAATGTACTCCCTGTGCCTGGTCGATTAAAATCTGTACATTTATTTTGTTTCTAAATTCACTCGAATCCTACTCTCTAATCCATATGTAGTCCGTATTAAAATCTGTAAAAAGGCTTATATTTAGGAATAGAGGGAGTACATTTGAACATTTCTTCTTGTGGTGATGTTAACCGTATTATATTTTCCCATCTTGGGTGAAACTTGCTTGCAGAAGCACAAAGGAAGAATTATCAGTTTGTTAACCCCTTCCTTCACCATTTAGCATTTGCATTTGCTTGCTCAAAGTGTTACCATAATACACTACATGGTGCTTGCGCTCTCCCCTTTCTCTCTATACATATTTCTCCACTAATTAGTCACTACCTAATCAATACATACTGAATGATCTGTACATGCTACCTAGAACACAACCTATTTTCATGAATGGGGAAGAATAGAGATGCATAGTTAAAAGATTTTTTGCAAGTTCATGTGACATTATATTCCAATTTTTTACTCATTATATTCCAAAATTTCTTTTGGCAGCGAATAGGCGTAGGGGAAAGAGCAACATGGCCAAGCAAGTCTTACAGTAAATAAGCATGAGAACAAACTAAGCACAAACTGAGTTTTTGCTTTTTTTTATGCACGTTTAATGTTGTGTGGACTTAGCATACACTATTTTTTTCTCTTCTTCCATTCGTGTAGCTACAGGAGCACAAACTAAGTTTCCTCACCTACTCTCCCTCTCATGCGCGCACTAGTCGCCCACTACACATGTGCCTTCGTTGTCACCCTCAACTCTCTTTAGTATAAGGCCGCAATTGGATTGACGGATGCTTTTCCGGCTGTAAATATCTACACTTGTATTTTACAAGGCTCTCACAAAATACTGACGCAACCCTGTATTTTCTTTCTGGTTGTAAGATGTGTTTGGTTCTCGGGTTGTAATCCGGTTGTAACATCATGAGCTCATGCTGAGTTTGGAAACACCCGGCGGAGTGCGAGGTGCGACGGGTCATCAACATCGGGGACGGTGATGGGGCTCAGAGTGATTGTTGGGGGTTGTGGTAGCTTGGGCAGGGTGGCGGTGCCGGACGATTAGGCAGGTGTAGGTGTGAAGACAATTTGGGGATCCGATTAGGAGCTCTCTCTCTCTCTCTCTCTCTCCTCGATCCGACCGTGTATTTCTCAAGTTTTGTGCTAATACGGAAAAAGGAAATATATTTATCATATTAGTATACCAATAATTTGTGCTAGAATCTAGATTTCTTAGGGAAGAGCTTCATTTTTACTGTATAAGAGTCTATGCAAGTATTTTTCCATTGCAGGTGTCTTAACGCCACTACTGAAGTAGCATTTTACTGAAGTAAATTGTAGAGTATATCACAGTGATGAGGTTTTGGGATCCCAATATTAAATCTGTTTGTATGTACATGCCACTTTTATGCGTACAACAAGCTGAATATAATGTTTTTTTATTAATGTTCTATAATTTAAATTTATTTCCATTTTTTCCCCGGATACAATTTTACAATGATCTCCTAGGAGAAGTTAAATTAGCCAAACAAATAATGTTTATATTTAGGAAACATAATTAGTAAGATGATTTGATTCCATATTGGGATTAATTTATCTACAATGTGCTTGGGAGGAAGATGAGAAGATGTTGATGGTGGCGGTGTAGTTGATGGCGACGGCGGCCATGGAGAGGCAATCAAGAGCATCAACAACCTCTTGGCGCATCTCGACAACAACATGAACCCTCTTGCGAGATAGCTGCTGGAGCATCGGGGCCGGGGTTTCTTCGAGGATCATAAGGACGACATCAACGGGGAATAAAAGACGGTTACCACCACGGGATAAGATGACCATGACAAACCCATGTGATGTGCATGCGGATCCTAAGGTATATGTTAGATATGATAAATGTTGAAGCACTAGAATATGTATGCCCCTGTTCCAATGCAAATGATTACCACATTTGTTTTCATCTTCCAAAACCAGTTTGTTTTTGCTACGCCTTATTTGACCAGACAATGGCAATATGTTCAGCTCAAGAAAATCATAGGAAGCATTTATTTGAATGGCCTCAATAGTCCAAAATCAAAATAGTTGATAAACACACACCTACATACGAGCGTTATCAATCCATAAAAATAACAAATGGCAAGCATAGTATGAGCTTGCTTGTAATGTCACTATGAAACTGTATGGATGACATAGAGTGATGATGTCAAAGCTAAAGCAAGGAGTAGACCGAGATAAAAGAGGCTGAAGGAAGAGCAAATTCTGTCTTGTTGGTCGGGTGTGAGAAATAAGATGTGTGTGTCGAGAAAATTTAGAACCAATGGAAGAAGAGATAAAGCTGCCGTATAAATACAACCAATCAACATTGTTTTGTTATCCTCCGGCCATATTTTTTATACATGTGAAGTTTGACATGCATTGTATTTATATACGCAAGCACTAAAAATTTTAAAAGCCCGTGGCAACGCACGGGCATTCTACTAACAGTATTAGAGGCCCATGTCATCGAGTTCGCCCAGGAGCCGCTCTGCACATCGGTCGATCGGCTTGGACTATTCACACCGCCTTGGCGGCCCGCAGACATTCCTTGTAGAACGGCATCCATGGGCCACCGTCGGGGCGGTGGGCGTCGTCGGGCCGCTCGTCCTTGACCATTGAGGGCTGCCTCGTCGAGGGATTTGATGGCCGCTACACTGCTGTTGTGGGAAATCCCTATTCGCCGCTCGCTGCGGCAAACTGTCGCACTACCGCACAGGGGGCAGCGATGCGAGCGACGAACATGGGCCGGCCCACTTCGAGTTTTACAAAGGTGCGGCCAACCGGTTTTAGGAACCTTCTAGAAGGTTCCCTAAACCAGGTTTTTTCTGTGTTCTTTTCTTTTCAGTTTTTTGGCTTTATATTGTGTTTTATTTTTCGTTTTCTCTTTTCCTTCTTTTTCGTTTTTCCATTTTCCTTTTTCTGTTTTTTTTCTTTTTTTCCTTTTCTATCTTTTGTTCATTTTTTTCTTTTTCTTTCCTTTTATTTTATTTTCTTTGTTTCGTTTTTTATTTTCTTTCCATTTTATACCATTCTCACTTTTCTTTTCCAACATATATCCAGATTTTTTTTAAAAGTTCACATTTTTTTTGCTTTTTTCTAAAATGTTCCAATTTTAAAATTTTGTTCAGAAAATCCAAAAAAGTAGAATTTTAATATATTTTTTTCCATTTACAAAAATATTCCAAAATTTATAAAAAGTGTAGAATTTCAAATTTTAAAAATATTTGCATTTTAATTTTCGTTCACACATTCAGAAAATGTTTGCGAGTTTCAAAAGATGTTCCCACTTAAAATTTGTTCGCAAATTCAAATAGTGTTCTCTTCATGTTTTCAAAATTTTGTTCGCAAAATAACAAATTGTTTCGAGGATCTCAAAAAATGTTCTCCTTTGAATTTTTGTGCACAAATTTGAAAAATGTTTGGCAAATTCACTTTTGAACTATGTTCACGAACAAAAATAGCCATGTTTTCATGAATTCAGAAACATTTTAGGTAATATCAAAAAATGTTCGCATTTTGATAAATTTGTAATTGATTTCAAAAAAATCTCTTTGTTAATTTTTGTTCTTGTTTTGTCAAAAAATGTTTGCATTTTCAAAATTTTCTTCGTCATTTTAAAAATGTTCTCCCTTTGAAATTTGTTCCTTTTTTCAAAAAATGCTTGGGTTGCACAAAACATTCGACTTTTTATAAATTTGTTAAGAAGTTAGGAAAATTTTATTTTTAAGTTTTTTTACTTCTTCCAAAAAGAAAATCATGTCTGTGGCTAGCGACACGGGGCTGCCATTTTAAATTTGTTTATATACACAGGGCTGCCATTTTAGACACCTAATCAAAGTAATGATAGTGGAGTTGTGTTACTAGTTTGCCGATGTCGTTTACTTCTTTTAGTGTCGCGTTGCCAATTTGACAGTATAACCTACCTGTCGCAGTGGCTACCAACATGCACATCCCACTTCGCGGTCGCGTGTTGAATCCCACTGCCCGCGCCCACCTTTTCTTGTTTTTTCATTGTGACGACGTAATAAAGCTTTGCGAGGTTGCCTAAAAAAAACCTTTTCTTATTTTTTTCACGTCGCTAACGCCTGCCACCCCGTGCACTGGAAATGGGCCGGCCCAGGTGAGTCGCCCTGTGCGAAACGCCACCTCTTTGCCGCAACGAGCGGCGCATAGGAGGTCCCGCTGTTGTGTGCGAAATCACACACCGACGGCGACGCTCTTCGTCGTTGCAGCAAGTTAAGCATCGTAGTTTCAATTCAGAAGCTCATATTCTAGCTTAAGTCAGCATCATCTTTGGGTACTGACACTAATTCTTGTATCATGGGACGGAAGGACTATTAATGAATACGCCTTTTATCCAAAAAAACAATATATTAATGAATAAAGACACCCCTTTACCCCTAAAACACTAATCTAATTCACTTGCCCATGCGGGGTTTAGAAATTCATCTGCCTGCCATGAATGTTTAGAATCCGAGATTGGACCGTTCAGAAGTTCGGATGCCACCTGAGAGGAGCTTCTAGGATTCACGGTTGTAATGGCTTCAAAATAGAATAATTCATAATTGCATCAATGACCAAAACAATGTTGATAGACGACGGACTACCCATTTATTTATTTATTTATTTATTTATTTCGAAACGGAAACTAGCCATTTATTGATAGAAACATACACATATGAGCCGAGACTGCCTCCTTATCCATAAATCCATCACTTATGGATAAGGAGGCCGATGAGTTCAGCAGCGACGCCACATCGCTCCTTCATATGGCGATCTACTTCGGCATGGAAATCCTTTTTGATCCGCTTCAACGTGTTATCGCACACATAACCGGCGGCCTTAGCACCCATCACGATCTTTGACGCGCCGGCATAGTCCCCACGATCGAAGCTTCGTTTCGCTTTGTACCTGAGGTCATCTTCGGCATCTGAATAGGCCCGGAGGCAGCCGGATAGCGCGTCTCCCACGGGTGTACCCTGGTTGAATCTGGCCCCGACTCTGATGTTATTGGCCTGAAAGGTAGTGAAAGAGGTGGCTATCCCTAGTGCGATGCTGGCGAGGTCGTGCACGGTGGAGGCCTTGACGCTACCTTGGTCGAGTCGTAGCACTTGCTTACACAATGCGGCGTTCTTGGTCTTCTTGCATGTGGGGGAGATGAAGACCGCGTTAGCATGGCCTGCGGGGAGGCCACATGACAGGATGACAAGAATGACGAGAACCGTGGCTGTGGATGTGGTGGCAGTGCCCGCCATTGTGTTGGTGCGTACAAGGCGACTCTTTCTTCTATATATATAGGGCGTCGCGCATGAGAAAATCTTTATGATATTTTCCGCCTTAATGATGGTGTATTTATTATTTTTGCAACATGAAATTAATAGCAAATCAAATAAACAATACTTAGTGAGTCAAGGCGGAGATAGATTTAGTTATTAAATGTACAATATATTAAAATGATAAAGTATATTAAATGTACAATATTTTCTTTATGAGTTGTACCAGCGAATCAAATAGATTTAGTTATTAAATGTATACAATATATAAAATTAATAAATGGATGTAACCATTGCTTTTGGTGAGTTCAGGATTGGCAAATTAATATATTTTCTTTATCAGAAGAGGAAAGGTAAACCTTGATACAAAGATGTACCAAGTCCAGTAATTAATGTACTACCAAAAAAATTATGATAAATGTATCAACGCTAATTATGGTAAGTCAAATAGTAATAAAAGGTTATCAGTGAGGTAGGCAATCTTAACTCGTCTTGAGGGTAGCAAGCGATAAGGAAAACAATGTTGTTTGGAACGAAATATGTATATGGCAACTGTGTGGCAGATTGCAAATCTGCCACACGATCTCATTAATTTTGGTTTTGAATCTAGCAGACACGATCCCGCTTCCCCTGGCAGCCCCCCTGTTATCTCTCTCCCTCACCCGCTCTAGCCGCGCAGTCAGGAAGGCTTCGTGCGCCCGCGCGATGCGTTCGGCACTGGTCGCGCCGGCAGGCGTCCGTCGCCGGCATCCTTGCCCGCGTCAGCCCCTTCTCCTTCCCTTCCTCTCCATCTCCTCCCTGCTCTCTCTGCACCTGCACCGGCCGCGCCGGCAGGCGTTCGTCGTCGGCGTCCTTGCCCACGTCAGCCCCTTCTCCTTCTCTTCCTCTCCATCTCCTCCCTCCTCTCTCTGCACCTGCATCGGCCGCGCCGGCAGGCGTCCGTCGCCGACGTCCTTGCCCGCATTAGCCCCTTCTCCTTCCCTTCCTCTCCATCTCCTCCCTCCTCTCTCTGCACCTGAGTTCGCGCGGATGCAGCTCTGCCTCCCAGCCTCCCTCTGGTACTCCTTCCAACGCCCAACCGTGATCGCGTCGCTCCGGCGAGCCAGCCGCCGCCGACGATCTGAGTTGAGCTCCGCCGTGCTCCACCCTGCCTGTTCTTGCTCTCGATGATGCAGACATAAATTGGGGATGGTGACCATTACCCCTTCCCTAGTGTTTGCGAGGGACTGCAGCAGCCGGTGGTTTGCATCGCCGCACACCCACGCTTGCTTGGTATGCTTAGACTATAGGATTCTCGCAAAGTCCGACGGAGAATTCTCCATGTCCCAAGGGAGAATCATGTTCTCATTCTCCCCCACAGAAGCGCCTGTCCATCTAGAAGGTAAGTTGAGTTCAGTTATCAGTGTGTGTCAGCGATTTGTTTGTGTAAAGATTTTTCTTGTTTGACCACATCATCATCATTGGATCGGAGCTTCATCTTACTAGTTTGCTACAACATTATAGCCATGCATGGCTAGCTTCTAGTTCGGTCCGTTGAATGCTTGACTGCCAAATGTTATTTGGATAACTGAAGGTATAGAAAGGGCTTTTATGAGCGATGATAAGGCCTTTACATGTGTCAAAGAGAAATAATAATCAAGAATGCAAGAGAAGAAATCGCAGCGGCAACATCCACTGAAGAATGTAAATACATTTTACTTCAGTGTATTGGTGCGAGCCTCTTTGATCTGCTGAAGGTTTTTTCCCTAGGTGTTTTTGCAGAAAATTAGATTTCTCTTGAGATTCCTTCCTGCATTATTTTTCTCTATCTTGGAGTTGAGTTTCCCTGTTAGGTCCCCACAAAAAAGGAGTTTGCCTGTAGGAGACAGAGATCATCAGTTGTTGATCTGGGGTGGTGGTGTGTTGTCTCTTTTATCTTGTCATCTATAGAAAATGTTCCTAGGTATCCTGATTTATACTGGTTTTGCAAGATTTAACATGTCCATTTCAGAGTTATGTCTCTCGTATGTTTGAGATGCATCTCATGTTTGCCTCAACAATCTTGTCTGCAACTTTGTAGATTGTAAGATAATCGGCCAGAACCGTAGGTAACACCAGTGTCAACAACATGATAAATTACTTACCGTAGGTGCGTTAACTTAGGCAGACTGGACCAAATAACTTTATGGACCTAGTAATAAAAATATTTCTTAAAGTTGTTGAAACATACCTGGTAACTTTTATCGGTATATCATGATAATTTACGTACTACAGACCTGATAACTTACTTGCAACACCATGGTAAATTTTACTACAGCTTTCTAAATAAAAACACCCCGATAACTTTTATGTAAACAGTATGATAATTTATGTAGTACATTTCTGATAAATTATACAAACACCATGACAACTTTGACCCGTGGGATTTTTTTATTGAAAACATACCATCGGTAAGTTTTGTGTAAATATCATGATAATTTATGAATTGCTTATCTGATAACTGACGTACAAACAAAGGTGGTAACTACTAACCGGGGAAAAGACGTTGAAACATACCCTCGGTAACTTATGTGTAAATAGCATGCTAATATACACACAAGTGAGTTGATAACTCACGTATAAATACCACGGTAACTTTTGACCCCTGAAAAAAGTTGTTGGAAATATAACCTTGGTAAGTTGTGTGAAAATGGCAAAGTAATTTACAAACTGCATATTCGATAACTTAGATACAAACAATGCGATAACTTTGATGAGCTAAAAAAATTTGTTGAAAAGCATACCCCCGATAACTTATGTGAAAATAACACGGTAATATATGAACCGCATACCCGATAACTTACATACAAACACCGCGGTAACTTGGGGGGGGGGGGATTGTGTAACTTACGTGAAAATAATACAGTAAGAAACAAACTGCATACCCGGCAATTTGCATACAAACATCGTGATAACTTTGACCAAGTGGGAAAACGTTGTTGAAACACATAATCACGGTAACTTATGTGAAAATAGCACGGTAATGTACGAACCGCGTACCCGACAATTTATGTACAAAACACTGTGGTAGCTTTGACTAATGGAAACAATTTGTTGTTGAAAACATACCGGCGATAATTTATGTGAAAATAGCATGATAATGTAGAAATTGCATAATCGGTAACTTACATACAAACACCGCGGTAACTTTGACCAAGGGGAAAATATATAGTTGTTGGAAAACATACCCCCGATAACTTATGTCAAACTAGCACGATAAGTTGCATACCCCACGGATGGTAACTTTTGACCCAATAGCACATGTACAAACACCTTCGTATCTTTTACCAAGGGGAAATACTTGTTTGAAAAATATAACCTCGATAACTTATGAGAAAATAGCACGGTAACATGCACATAATAGGCTTGGTAACTTATGTAGCCCATGCGTGGTAACTTTTGACCCAAGAAAAAGTTGTCGAAACATACCAACATGGGATCTAGTTTCGAAGATCTCGTCGCGAGAAATCTTTTATATGAAAATGATTTTTGCATCGGACCGACGGTTTGAGCTACAAAATATAAAAAATGAGGTGTGTGGTAGTTTTGCTATTTGGCACACGTGTGCCAAATATCACAGTCCTTTTTGGAAAAACTTTCGATCTATTTATCATATGTCATGATAGTACAATAAAAATCAGAAGTAAACACTACAACCAGGTCTGCAGACCACCTAGTGACAACTACAAGCATGGGAGTAAGCCAAAGGCGTGCCGCCATCATCACCCCTCTCCATTGGAGCTGGGCAAACCTTGTTGTAATAGACAGTCCAGAAAGTGTTGTGTTAAGGCCCCAAAGAACAAGCACCAGAATAGCAGCTGTCGCACCTTACTGATTCCTATTAGGAATCGCCTACATTTAGGCGCTATCGGGCCGGCCAGATACTGTAGCGTGGCGTGAGTTTTTCCCTGTTTTTTTCTTTCGGCTTTTCCCATTGTTTCTGGCATGGTTTTCCTCGGGTGTTCTATGGTTTTTCTCTGGTCTTTTAGTTCTTCATTTTTCTTTACTTATGTTCTTCTATTTTTTTCTTTTGTTTCATTCCATTTTCCCTCTCTTTTTCTTTGTTTTAGTTCCTGGGTTTTCTTTGCTTCTTAAGTTCTCATCATTTTTCTTTGATTTTTATTCATTCCACATTTTCTTTTTTCCTTTTTCAACACATGTCTGTGTTTTTCATATGCATTGTACATTTTTCGTAGGACAGCGCTAGGCATCGGTTGGCCGGCCCAAACTTACCGTAGGTCAGTTGGTAGCCACCCGATCTGAGATACGCGAATTGTCAGATGTAAGCTTTTTGTCCCTCCTTCGGTTTCTCCTTGTCATTATCTGCCTCATGTCCACACTGGAAGAAAGGGACGGCGAGCGTCGCCTAACCCCCACCATGGATGTGCAACGTTGAAGCACCGCGGGCTCATTGTGTTCGGAAATGTAGTAGAAAGCAAAACAAAAAATTGTCATATGGATCAAAGTCCCGGATCACTATGAAGATGCATACAAGATTAGATTGGATTGTTACCAATTTCGAGTTGCAGCAGGAAAGAAGTTGGCATAGATCGTTTTTTAAACCCTAAACAATTTCAGGGTTGGCTGTAGCACATGTGGATGTTGTTGGTCCACCCCACCACATTACCACTGGAAAAGCTTCTGGTTGTCATGTTCCAACATCCGCCACTTATGGTTCGAGCTTCGACCAACATGTTGCAGCACTCGCCAGCCGCCATCATCAGGTACAACCGCCATTGTAGCATCCTTCTCTGTTGGTTCCAGCATGCTCCCACATGGGATGCAGCCCGCTCACTAATAAAAAACAGGGCTTTGGTTCGGGCATGGCAAGCCCAGTAGTCCCGGTCCAGTCACGAACCGGGACCCATGGGGGCATTCGTCCCGGTTCGTGAGCCCAGGGGGCGGCCGGGGCCTCATGGGCAATGGTCCCGGTTCGTACAGACCCATTTGTCCCGGTTCTAGGC